GTCGCTCTGATTGGAGGCGGCTGGGGGGTCTGAGCTGGATAAGCCCAGACAATCTGCCAAGAAGGGGGAACGATGGCGAATTCGCTCAAGATCGGTCGCCGGATCCCTCCTGGGGTCGGAACTGACATTCTTTTCGAGCTGCGTCCAGCCGTGGCGGCGAGGGACTGACCTCAGCCTCCAGCCAGCTCCAATGATTTGACACCCGGCAGGATACACGTGGGGCACTGGCTGATAGGGAGTATCCCTCTGCTGCAGCCCGCGCCCCGCCAGCCTGCCTGCCGAAGCGTAGCGCCAACGGCGCGCACGGGGAGGACCTTCTCGGAAGCGCGGGGCCTTTGGGAGGATGGGAAGCAAACTGATGGGTGGCTGCTTTGGGGCGGGGGCTCCTATGTGGCCCGCTCGAAAACCCAACATCAAAATATGTTGACACCTCTTCGGACGCTACTGCTGCTTCTGCCGGTTTCCACTGGCTTTCCGCTGGCTTCTGCCAGCGGAGCCGCCTCCGTTTTACCTACGCCGCCTTGGGCCAGAGAGGAGATGCCACCCCCTCGTCTCGTCGAAAGGAAGGCCATGTCTGGAATGCTCCACCTGTCGACTTGAAACTGGCTGGGCGGGATTCGTGGACCTGTCCTGTCACCGAGGTCGCGCCTGCGTGGCGCCCTCCGGAGCGGGCCCGCGCGGCTGACTCGCCAAGGGAGGCAGGGGAGGATACGAGGCTACAGGCAGGGAGAAGAGGAGCACAAGCGCCCCCTCGGCAGGCAGCGGCTGATGAGGAGAAGGGCCGGTGCAGAGCTACCTCGGGGTCAACTGGGGTCACGTCGCGAACCCGAACCCCGTCTGGTGGCGCAGCAGCTCGAAGACCCAGGTCAGCGGGAGGGGGGGGGCTCGGCTCCACGCGTCGCCCAGACCTAGGTCGGCCAGAGTGGATCAGAAAGGACTAGCGCTGACACCCGCTGTGCGCGCCCCGAGCGAGCCCGCTCAACCCCCCGCCCAGCCTGAGTGAACGAGACCGGGGGCAAGACGTTGCACGCCAAGCCGCTGGTCGTCAGCCGCTCCTCTCCCCCCCAAGCTTGGGGGGAAGCTGCCGGCTGTGGCCATCTTCCTCCTGATGCTGTTGCCGCTCCGCCTCCCTCCCTCCCTTCCCCACTTCCTCCTTCTCCTGCTCGTCCTGCTCCTCCTGTCAGCACTCCTCCGAGCATCATCTCGCAGAGGCAGCAGTGTTCAGCAGGCGGAGAAGGGCTCCAAACTCAAGAAGTGGACCATCGGCCGTTCCGTCTGACTCAGAGGCCCTGAGAGGACGGAGGCGTACTTCGCCCGTGCCTCGAAGTATACACCAAACAACAACGTTCTTGATTAAACTGTTCTGAAGGACTCCCCTGCTTGACACCCTCCTCATCGATCCTCCTCCCTCCTCTTCGACCCCCCTCTTTCCTCTCCCCCTGTTCATGTTACTGTCAATCTTATTCTATGTTTTGACCGGCTACGAGCGTGAGCGAGCGCAAAGGACTGGCGAGACAAGTAGCCAGGCGCGCCCGGTCGAGAGGGAGCCTCCAGAATCCAGGCCACAACACTAGATGAGCGACGACAAGAAAACGGGGCTTACGCGATATGACGTAGCGACCTTACGCGGGGCACCTTACGCGCGAATGTTGGCGCAATCGAATCATTTTCTTGCGCCGCTCACATGGTTTTTGCCTGAAATCAATTGCGGACGCCAGACCATTCGCATAGAGAAAAGCAGCGGGCGGGGAGGAGACCTCTCGACCCTCTGGCGCGGGTGCTTGGCCGCGGATTGTTTCTGACGGCCCCGGGGCCCAAGGCTGGTCCACGAAGACAGAAATAAATGACAACAGAAACTGGCCGTCTCGATTTTCTCGAGCCGGCAGCTCCGCGGAGAGGACCAAAGACGACGATTGACGATCATCGAGGACGGTGAGGGTACGTAGAGCATGGCGGCGAGGATTGACGATCAAGCGAGGATCGAGGATCAATCGTGGGGACGGCGAAGACCAATGACGGCGGAGGCAACGACGACGGCGGCGGCGAAAGCATCGCGCCTGCACCTCGCCGGACCACTTGCCGTCCGCGTTGACGGCCGTCATGCCGTCGGGGTCCGTGTCGGTCCTGCCGTCGATGGGCGCCTCCGCGGTGGGCTGGGATGGGGGCCTCAAAGAGGGACGAGGAGGAAGATGGAGGAGGAGGAGGAGGAGGAGGAGGAGGAGGAGGAGGAGGAGGATGAGGAAGAGGAGGAGGAGGAAGAGGAGGAGGAGGAGGAGTTCTGGAGTTCTGGGTGTGGCGACTAGGTCGGGAATCACTAACTTAAACACGGGATTTCTGCTTCTTGGCTAGCTCAGCTTTGTTGAAATTTGTGGGCCAGAGACCACGAGAAATCCGATCGAGGTGATCGGCTCGATTACCTTCAACTCGGTCAACTCACGGCCTTGCTAGTTCGCTAAGCTGCTAAGCTGCGTAGAACCCGCACGCTAAACATAACCAAACCCCCAGTCCCGCGTGATGCCTTAGTTTGTGACTTGGATTGGGAAAATCCTCCGCAACGTGCACCCGCCGCCCACGGGGGGGTTCAAAAAATATTCCGTCCACATTAATGAGGTCAGAGCAGGGGGAGATTAGCCTGTTTTTATGCTTCGCTTTGGTGGCTGTACCTTTGCACCTGCTACACTTGCTGTCATTCGTATCGCACAGAACATGTTGACATGAGAACAAAGCACAGACAGACGGAGCAGGAGGCCTAGGCTGGGCACGGCGGGCTAGGCTGCGCTTGCTCAACTGTCTCGACCGTACTTTGGAGAATCCTCACTCTGAACAAGAACGCGTTGTGTTCATCGGCATGGACATGTGTGCGACTATTTTCAGGCACTCTAGATTCGTCAGTTCCTGGTGCGGCGCAGGAGTCTGCCCTAACATTGCGCCTCGAGGTGCGAGTGGGCGAACGGCATCGTGCACTGCAGCCCTGGGTGCTCAGACGAGTGTGCACCGACCTGCCGCCGCAAGTCGCTGTCGGAATCCTTGGTTGTGCCAGCCGATGATCACGCTCTCGCTGTCCGCGGTGTAGACCGCGCGTCCTCTGCTACCGCGCAGCGCGAGGAGGGCCGACAGATGCTCTCCCCTTGGGGCTCTGGCGTGGCCCTGGTGAACCTCCCCATACTCCAAAAAGACAGCTCCACGTTTAAACAGGCGAGCCCACTTCCAATGCGACGTAGTCTCGGGCCCATGCTCTTTGGGCCCGCGCCGGCGCCCCCCCAAATGTTGATGGGGTGCTCCTGAGTGCCCTCCCCGAAACAGCCGTCGACATCGGCCTTCGCAAACCCATACTCGGTGAGAAGACGTCTAGCGATGGCCTCGACATCGTAAACAAACTTGTGCCACTTCTTGCTTAGCACGCTCCTGCTATCGAGATCGTGGCCATATGGCTCCAACGGCTATCGCAATCATGAGGCCTGCGAGCCTGCGACCTCCTGGGGCGCCTTCAAGTGGCTGACGTAGAAGCCGATCTGATCGATTACAGGCCACCCCCCCCTCCCTCGAGACCTGATCCTTCATCATGTTGAGCTGCGCGTTGCCGCAGACTGGTTTGGACTGTGTGCTGGTGTTCGTCGAAGAAGGCACTGCGTAGGTCAGTACTCTCGATGCCTGTAAGATTGTCAGGTGCAAACTGCCAGATGTGCTCAGCTCCGTCGCCGTTGCTGGGCGTGGCTCATCACGTCGGTGAAATTGGCCGCCATCCAGCTTACAATACATAACTGATCACTCCACCTTGCGGTCCACGAATGTGACGTGCACGTTGGGCTCGCGGTACTGCAGCGAAATCGCGAACAAGAGCTGGCCATGTACGTGTGATGCGGTCACGAATCCTCGGCTGACGAATCCAACGAGACAGCCGTGGCCGCAAACATTCCCTCGGTCGCTTGCAGGTTCGGTCTCTACCTGCTGCTTTAAGATGCACCACCGACCGAAATGGCGCCGCGAACGGTTGCGAGTATGAGCCAGATTGTCCTAAACACCGAACCGCCATACACTGCATCAACTCCAGCCCCAGAACTTCGGCCAGGAAATCAAGCCGCATCCCGGCTCTGCCGACCAGCGGCCACCCGATGAACTCTCCCATGGCTTGACCAATGGCTCGCCTCTGACTGCGGCTAGCCAACTTCTCGATGTCCAGAGCGCTGACATCCAAGGTGGCGAGTTCACTTTCACGCAGGTGTTCCAGTTCATGTGTCCAGTAATCCCAACGCTATTTTTCTGTCGACCGAGCAATCCGAGAGGCTCTCTCAGGAATATCGCCCAAGAAACGCTGGCCTGCCTCGCGCGAGATTTTGATTGTTTGGCGCCGCCAACTCATCGGATATGTCGTGTACTACTGCTTATAACTGTGCTGGCCCGTGTCCATCAGCTGCAGACGCTATGGCGTAGAGGAGCAACTCGGGATGGCGTCGCCTGGCGAACGCAAGCCGCTAGGAACTGGGGCGACCCCCAAGGCGCCACCCCAGAAAATAACCAAAACAACCTGCTGATTATGGATGTGTATGGGGCCTCGACAATGCGAATCCAACAGCCGAATCGCTTGAGCTGAGGTGGCGGGCCGTGGCGCTGACATTCGCACGGGCAGGAGGGCAGGGGGGCAGGAGGAGAAAAGGAGCGAACCCGACGCTTGACCTCTGCTCAAGCCAGGTGCTGCTGGGAATGCGAAACTCTGACTGCCACTTTTGCGCATCGGACGGCTCGGGCGCCCCCCCGGAAGACTGCCCCTGGGCGGCCGGGGTTGAGGATTCCATCGACTCGCGCGGGGCCGGATTAGAGCTACTTGACTTTTCGACTGTGTGGCTGGATGCGAGGTTGGCAGAGGGGGGCTGTGCGGCGGGTCTGAAAGCGGTCTCGTCCGCCCGCGGGTCGCCCCCCTAGCGGCCTTCCCGCTCGTCGCCCGAGCAGGTGCGCTCGCCGCCGTCCTCGCAATAGGAATCCGCGTCGCTGAAGGCCGACGGGCGTGTATTCGGGGGGCGGAGGGGGCGAGACCGGGACCCGAGCTGCTGTAATCCTCGGCCCACTTGTCCTCTAAACCGAACCCGTGGGAAAACCGAAACAAAAATTGGGCGCCCCATGCTTGCTTGGCCTCCAACCTTGCAATCGCCCTCTTGGTCTAGGCAATGCTGGACTTGGGGTCTGGCGTCGCCCGGCTTAGGGGCTTGCGGGCAGATGGGGGCCGAGCAGGGAGATCGAGGTACCTGGCGTGCAACTGAGCTCCCTCGGATAGGAGTTCGACGCTGATGCCGGCGTGAGATTCCCACGGCGCCGCTAGAACTGGAAAGATATGGCGCGCATCTGCGCGTGCTGAATGACTCACAATCAAGTTCTAGACGGCTTTGCGCTTTTCCACCGGCTGGCGCGCGCGCGCCGTGCGTCTGAGCGCGCTATCTGCCCGCCGACGCGCTCGAACCATCCTGGGCGGACAATGCTTTCGGGTGCAATGTCTGTCTGCTGCCGCGACCCGAAGAACATGTAAAGACCGAAGCAGGCTGCCTAGCCTCCTGGAGTGGACCACGTCTGAATCGCGAAAGCCGATGCCTGAATGTCAATAAAAACTAAATATGGCAAGGGGGAAACCGCTCGCGTGGACGATGCGCGGCGCGAGCCCATCGTGCATGCTGCCTCGCTCCGCCCGGAGACCAGCGGCAGCTCTCGCTTCAGACAGAAGTTGGAGAGGGCGATGATTGCGAGTGAGCAGCCACTCGCCCCCTTCGTTGCTGCGGATGTCCATCTGCCCGTCGGGCATGATCCACTTGGGCTTCGGCCGAGCAAGGTTCGCGAACAGCTTCAGCGACGCTTGTCGAGCACGGGTTGGCCACTTGCTCATGCCTTGCTTCCCCGCGCGTGTCTCGCGCGCTGCCAGATAATCGTGATTGGAAGACAATGCCGTGAGACAGTTCCAGGCCTTGTCGCCCATGCGCGTGACGTTTGTAAAGGACATCCTTGTGGTCGTCGGACCAGTGGCATCGCTGGGAACACCCCCCGCGTGCTGATGCGCCGCAGCAATGTCGGTTCCTGCCGAACCTAATCGTTCATCTTCACCTCCAGCGCCCGTAGTCGAAGCGCCGTTCGGCTTGGCTGCAAACCTGGCGGGGGGCCATTGTCTGCCGCCTTGGCCGCTGCCGCTGCTGCGGCCCTCGCCTGAAAGAGCCGCTCGGCCTCCGCCTTCAGCCCCGCTCCAGACGGCGCCTTGGCAGCCTCCTCGCCAGAGGGCGCAGCTCCTCCACCAGCTGCAACTCCATCGCCGCGTGCTTCCTGATCACCGCCGCCTGCGACACCTGGGCCCGCAACAACAATCGTGCGCATCCGGCTCATCCTGTCCGAGACCTCCCTCTCGGCCTTGGCGACCTTGTTCAGCGATATCTGGAGCCCCGCCTCCTCGGGCCCGTAGCTCTGCTTCCGCGCCCCCATCTCGACCGAGAGCAGGCGTAGAGCCTGCTTGTCACTCTCCTTGCACTCCCGGTCTTCGAACTTGCCGAACGCCTCCGAATTCATCTGAATGCTGATCGTTGGCTGCGCGCCGCCAGCACTGGCGGCCGCCGCCTCGGAGCCGCGCGCGCCCCCCTGCCTCGGCCAACGCAGCCGCGGCGTCCTTCTTCGTGCGCGCTGCGAGCGCCAGCTTCTTCGCGGCGGCCTGCTCCTCGGCCTCGGCGGCCCGGGGCTGGGCGCGCAGCCTGAGCACCTGCGACGCCAGCTGCTCGTGCCTGTGGCTGGTCGCCCGCCGCGCCCCGTCGGCTCGCTTGACCGACCCCGCTGGCATCTCACCAGACGAGGCGGGATGCGTGGCGAGGCGGCTGCGCTGGGCCTCGAGCGCCAACCTCATCTCCTCCTCCTGCGCCGAACGCGCGGCCTTCTCCGACAAGCCGTGCATCTACTTGGCCGCCAGCTCCTTCTGCTTGCGCCTTCGCCCACGAGAGCGGTGGCTCCCGTTGCCCGTGCTGCCGACGCTGCTGTCCCCCCAATCCGAATCGCCCCCGAAGCGAACGTGACGATCGGGTCCATGAGGTTCGGACAACTTCTTGATCTGGAAGTCGCTATGCTGGCACTTTAGACCGTTGGAGCGGATCTTCTCGTTGTGCTCGCATCTCTGACAGTTGCCGCGCCGCGCCCATGGCCTGAACGTGCGTTGCGGCGTCGCCCCTGCTTTCGCGGACACTCGTGAAGTTAGCGAAATCACGAGCGCACGTTCTCAAGCACCACTCTAAGGTACAGGGGGGGCTCGCGCGGAAATTGGTTTGCAGAAGCCCTCAGGCCTCTGACCCACTTGCTCGGGCCCAAGCGGCTTGAGGGAAGAGGGAGATGAGAAGGAGGGGGAGGATGACAAGGAGGAAGAGGAAGAGGAGGAGGAGGCGGTGCCTTCCTGCAGGTGCCGACGCTGCCCTGCCACCGGCTGACCAACGCGCAGCTCGGCATTGCGCTGCGGCTCCGGCTGAACCCGGACTCGCCGGGCTGCGCGGCCTCCCCGCCGGCGGCAAGCGCAGCGGGGTCGCGACAGCCGAGGCTCTGCCAGCACCGCCGCCCATGTGGCGGGATCTGCGGCGCGCCGCTGGACCCTAGGGGGCGGCGCGCCCGCGGCTGCGCCGTGTGCGGGGGGCTGGTCCGCCGCCGCGACGCGGCGTGGTGCGAGGAGCAGGGGTGCACCGTGCACCGGGGAGTCCTGCTCCCCCACGCTGCGCCGGCACGCCCCGAGGAGCGGATGGACCTCGTGACCCAGGCCTCGCGCCTCGCTGGGCCGCTCATGGTCGACCTCGATGTCGCGAGCGCGCTCGCGCATAACGCGCTCGGGCTCGGCTCTGCGCGGCGGAGCGGCGCGGCGGCGGCGGCCGCGGCGCAGCGCAAGCGTGCCCGTTACGCTCGGTGGCCATCCGGCGACTCCACCAGTCTCTCGGGCACGTCCTCCAGCGCATCGCCGCGGACGCGGTGCTGGCGGCGACGCAGGCGCAAGGCTGGGCCGCTGGCGCCCAGCGCGGGAACCCTGGAGCGGGCTGAACGGCCGCGCGACGCGCGACGAGCTGGTGGCCGGGCGGCTCGCAACACTGACGCGACGCCCCGACTGAGCCCTGGAGGCGCTGGGCCGCGCGGGCCGGGCAGCGCGGCCGCTGCTGGCAGACTGGGGGGCGAGGGCTGCAGCCGTTGGGCGCGAACTGGCGGCGCCGCCGACGAAGGCTGCAAGGCCGCGGGAGCTGGGCGGGCGGCGAGGGGCGGCGAGGCGCTGGGCACCTGGCGGGGGCGGCGCGCCGGCGACGCCGCGGACGCGGGGGGCCAGGCGCGCGGCGAGCAGCCGGCGACGCTGGGCTGGCAGTCCGAAGGCGGGCGGCGCAGCCAGGGCCAGCTGAGGGCGAGCTGCCGCGGGGGGCCTGCAGGCCGCCGAAGAACCCAGGGAACGCCACTGCCGGGTCGTGGTGGAGCGCGCCGTGCTCCCAAGTAACGGAGTCTAGAGGCCCCGGCTGGCGGACCCCTCTGGCGCCCCCAAGAGTCGCTACTGTCGTCGACAGCCGGCTACCCCCGGGGGTGCCGCCCGCTTCGCGGGACGGCGGAAGTGTCCGCCAGCTCCCGACCACAGAGCGCCCGGGCGCGCGGCAGAGACTCGCGGCCGCCTGGAAGAGGAGGTGGAGGAGGAGGACGACGAGGAGGAGGAAGGAGGAATGATCTTCGCCGCTGCAGTGCTTTGCTCCTGGCCGTCAGTCTGGGGACAGGCTGCCGTCGAGCGCGGCACTGGGAACACGCTGGCACAGCTCGCGTGCATGACAGTGACGACGCGACGAGGCGGACGCCCCTGTGGCACGAGACCAGGAGGCTGTCGCACGACGCACGGGCGTCGAGGAGAGAACAGGAGGACGAGGACGATGATGATGAGGAGGGGGGGGAGGAGGGAGGAGGAGGAGGAGGAGGAGGAGGGGGGGAGGAGGCGGAGGGTGAGGATGAGGAGGAAGAGGAAAATGAGGATAAGGAGGAGGAGGAAGAGGAGGAGGAGGAGGAGGAGGAGGAGGAGGAGGAGGAGGAGGAGGAGGAAGATTTTTTTCCACCGCGCAGATTCAGCCCACAGGACTTCACGCGCGGCCCCGCCGCGGTGCCCCGCGCGCTCAGCCGGCGGGCGAGTCCGACCGAACTACACGGGGAAAGGGCCCCGCCCCGCGGGCAGGCGGGAGGCCCCAACCGAACGGGGCCGACCCCGCAAAGGGGGAGGCCGAACGGAAGGGGCCACCCGCACGCCCAAGGGGCAGGGCAAAAAAAGACCCGGACCCCGGGGCCACGACGACGACGACGACAACGACGAAGACGACGACGACGACGAAAACGACGACGACGACGACAACGACACGACACGACGGGGGAACGGACCGCCAGTCCCGCCCCAAGGCGGCGAACGCAGGGGAGGGAACCCTGCGCCGCCCTGGGGGAGGCCCCGGGACCTGGCAGCCCCCCCTGGGAAAGGGGACCCCGCTTATGGGGGCCGTCCCAGAGGAGCGGGGGCTTTTCGCCCCTCGGGCCCGGCGTTCCCCGACTGCGCCAGGAGGACCCTGGGGTCCCGACCCCCCCCCACGGGAGGGGCCCGCTCGGGGCAGGAGGAGGAGGAGGAGGAGGAGGAGGAGGAGGAGGAGGAGGAGGAGGAGGAGGAGGAGGAGGAGGAGGAGGAGGAGGAGGAGGAGGAGGAGGGGGAAGGTCGGGAGGGGGGAAGTAGGCCTCTCTCTCTCCCTCCTCCTGTCTTCTCCTCCCATCCTCCACCTCCCCGCCCTCCTCCTGCCCATCCTCCTCTTCCTCGTCCAACTCCCCCTCCCTTTCCTCCTCTCCTTCTCCTCCCCCTCCTCTCCTACTTCCTCTCGCTCCCTCCTCTGCTCTCCTCCCTCCTCTCTCCTCCTCCTCCTCCTCCTCCTCTTCATCCTCCTCCTCCTACTTCCTGTCGTTTCCTTTCCTCAGGAGAAGAAGAAGGAGGAGACGGGACAGCAAGGGAGAGCAGGAATGATACAACCCCGAGATAAATAGAAGGCGAAGGAACCCGCAACTCAACGGTTCCATGCCATGAGACCACATATCGAATCAGCCACCCTGAATCACCAAGCAGCGAAATCTAGCATGATCAAGCTCAACACATGCACGTGCTCATTTATGTTTATGGCTGTGTCTGCAATATATGAACGGAATTGAACGACCAGACGAGCAACACATCCGCCGACCCCCACCTGCCCAAGGTGAAAAGGCGTGGGATACATCTGGCTGTCCCCCCTCCCCTTAGTCCCCTCCCCCAAAGTTCGAACTCTCGTTGAGGACAGGGGGCTATCCCAATATGAGCTCGCCAACACACCTCTGGGGCCCTCCAAATCCACAGTCCGCGGCCTCCACCATGTCTAATATTCCTTATATGGTGGCTCGTAAAGGGGCTCCAACACACCAAAGAGGCCTCAAGAACACTCAAAATGGCCTCAAACCACGCCAATAGACGAGATTCATAAGAGAGCCTGAAGAGGCAAACATCCGTGATACTCCAAAGAATGCTTGAATGATTGTGGTGTTCTCGCTTTTTTCCTGGCTTCTGAAGACCCAGAGCGGCCCGAGAGGTCCCCCCAGAATGGCTCGAGACGGCCCAAGAAGTCTCCAAGAGAGCCCGGAGACGGCCCGAGAGGACCCCACGACGGCCAAAAAAAGGTTCCAAAAGGGGGACCTCGTCGGGGCCGACGAGCCCTCCCCCAGAAGATGGCCACCAAGACCCCCACCATGCCCTTAAGAAAGCCCCCCTCAAGAAGCTCCCAGAAGGGGGGCTCTCAGAGAGCTCTCCAAAGCCCTCAGGAGCGCCGAAAAGGAGCGCAATGGAGTATGGGGTCGCGTCGAGTCCTACACCCACCCTGGTAAAGTAAGCCAATCAGCGGAAACATCTTGTCGCCGCTGACCCCCCCCCCAGACCCCCGATCTCAGTGTTGAGTCGGCCGCGGCTGACGGCAGAAAAATCGGATCGCGCGGCGCTCCGTGCGAACATTGAAATTGAGGGGCGCGGGGAGACAGACCGCGCGCGAGAGTTGCACGACTTTTCCAGGGCAGCGCGTGGAGTCCAATGAAATCCTTCAAATCAACTCGGCTACTCCTAAGTTGGAGTCAACTTTGGTAGATCTGTTCTCCACGTCGACGGCTGCAATCCCGCGTGAAAAGATGGCACCGTCGGAAACGACACGTGGGAGTCGGCAGCCAACCCCACCGCAGGACCGTCCTCGCCCTTTCCTCCCAAGGAAAACGAAGACACCAGCGTAAAGGAGGAAGGGTCGAAGGGAAGAACACACAGACCTCGCAACCGTGTGGCACGAGGTGCGCCCACGAATCGGCGCGTCGGATACGATTCGTTTTGCAGGGTCGGCGCTGTCAGTACATAGCGTGCAGTGCACACTAGGCGGTGCTCTCAAACAGATGTGCACGTGCGGTGCGGTGCGCCCTTCAGGTGCACCCAACACGCTACATTTGCATCAGACTGGGCTGCGCCAGACTGGCGCCAGATTGGAATTCACAGGGGGCTGCTGCCAGACTGGCCCTAGAGCCCAAATCCAATCTGCCAATCTGGCCTTCGACTGCCCAATAAGATATCGGAGGTTAAGTGATGGAAGCGAAATAAGGGAAACCTAACTACCGATACCGCTATTTCCCAGAACTCTCCTGGGGTGCCTTCTGATCAAATTTCGAAGCGAATCCAGCCGTGTCGACGAGGCCTCCCATGAAGCGTAAAAAAGCGAAAACGAGGCAAGGGGGTATGGGTATTTGTTCCCAACAACCATCCTGTGGTGTTGGGTCCTCGTTTTGAAGAGACGGTCCCCGCGTCCCTCCTCCCTCCTTCCTCCCTCCTCCTCCCCCTCCTCCCTCCTCCCCCTCCTCCCTGCGTTTCACCCACCCAGTGCAACGTTTCGTGGCCCTATAAGGGGGCTCCACCGAAGGCCTCACTGGCAGGGTTCGCATGGCGGCCCCGCCTCATTTTGGCGCACCGCTCACACGGTTCGTGGCCCCACAGGGAGCTCCACCGAAGGCCCCAGTGGCAGGGTTCGCATAGCGGCCCTGCTCCATTTTGTCGCACCCCTCACTCGGTTCGTGGCCGCACAGGGAGCTCCACCGAAGGCCCCAGTGGCAGGATTCGCATGGCGGCCCCGCATTTTGGCGCACCCCTCACACGGTTCGTGGCCCCAAAAGGAGCTCCACCGAAGGCCCCAATGGCAGGGTTCGCACGGCGGCCTCGTCCCATTTTGGCGCACCCCTCACACGGTTCGTGGCCCCTTAGGGAGCTCCACCGAAGGGCAGGGTTCGCATGGCGGCCCCGCCTTATTTCAGCGCACCCCTCACACGGTTCGTGGCCCCAAAGGGAGCTCCACCGAAGGCCCCAATGGCAGGGTTCGCACGGCGGCCCAGCCGACTTGTGGCGCATCCCTCACACGGTTTGTGGCCCCATCGGGAGCTCCACCGAAGGCCCCAGTGGCAGGGTTCGCATG